TTTGCCACTCTATAATATGTCCAACATCGGTTTCGCTTAGTAAAGATTTCCTAAATAGCCGGCCTAAGGCCGAACGTTCTTGATGCACGGAAAGTGTATTCTTAGCGAAGCCGGTGTCCAATATACCTTAGAGAAGAAAATCCTTACGCCCGGCCGTTTATCAAACTTATATTTTTCTTATTTCGTGTGATAAAAGTAATATAATGAAATAACTCCCCAAAAATTTTTTTATGGATTTATTTCATATTTGAATTTTGAGGAATTATTTTATAATGAAATAACTCCCTATTTTAAATGTGAAACAATGCTCCAAAAATGAACTCAGTCCCTAAAATTGGTTGTTGTTTTTTCAATATAAAAATTTGGGAACTAGTTCATTATCGGTTAGAGGACTCTGTTCATTGGGAACTTCATTCGTAGCGATAAATTATCCTTCAATCTTAAGTTTTATACTTTCGATTAATGTGTAAAAATATTCACAAATATTCCATACAAAAGAGAAACTCAATATTTATTTATACAAATATTGTTGATACATTCCGATATTCATAAGTAGCTTTTGTCTTGGCTTATAGTATAAATATTTTACCAATAGTTAACGATTAATACAGCTAGAATTTGCGGAAACTCTACTAGTAGTTATAGAAATAATTATTGCAGAAAGGCTTAATATCAGGCAAAACAAATTTTATAACAAAAATGTTTAAGTAAAGTAGATTTTGGGATCCTTTCCTTATACTTTTTTGTTATATTTTATTTAATTTACTCATACACGCATTATGGACTTAACACATTTGGCAATTAAATAAGCTTGGATTACACCTGAATTAGGATTTAAATTAAAACAATCCACTTACTCTGCTCTAAACTCTATTCAACATAAAGCATTATGTTTGATATTTTTTAACCATCTCATTTTTTCTTTTTTCAGTTTTGTACGAGAGTCTTAAGCAGTTGTCCTGAAGGTATGTATTGTTTGATTTATTGAAGGAATTACAGAAGCAAGATGAACAGACAGAAAGTAATGAAATCTGTTTAAGGCAAGTTGCTTAATGCAATTGTGGATTGTGGCAATATACATATACATACATTCTAGTTTCTCTTTTTTCAACTCATTGTCTAATCAATCCTCTTTGTTAATTTAAGATCCTTTGCTATCCTTTTAAACATTTAAGTTACAAAACATAACAACTGATACATGAAACATTTATCTTCTTTTGGCGTGCGTTGCGTTTGCAATTTTCCTAAATTTAAAAGAATGTATGAACTGATAAAAAATATCTACGGATGTGTAAATTGTACTAGAGTATTATTATTATTAAGTGATCTGGTTTCAGGCCTTTGTCTTTTGCACCAGATTTCAGGATTATCCGCTCTAGTCTACTAACCTACTTTAACCTATATACAATCCCTTACAGGCATAAATACCCCTACCCCTACAACTACTTATACTACCAAATACGACTCGCACTACCGAAATACAAAAACAACATTTATAACGATTAGTTTTAGTTTGTATGTATGAATGTGGTTTAATATCTGATCTGATTTGTATTGAAATTCATCTTATGGGCTTAAACGAATTTGTACAATTTGCTAAAATAACAAGCAACACAATTACCATTTCATCACCACCAATAACAACAATAACAAATATCTTTAAGAACGGGGCAATACGGGAGAGTAAAAGAGATAGCATGTTGCGCGTTAAGTAAGTAAGTAGTAAATGAGTTAAGCAGCAGCGGGAACAACGGTAGTAATTATAGTCATAGGAGTAAGTTACTTATCTTATTACCAGGGTTAAGAGAAAAGATTATAATGTCGAAAGAGCATGGCCCTGGTAAGCCTTATTCAATACAATAATACACACATATTTTATTTGATGTACGGCGTATTTAGTTTGTGTGTGCCGTATGCATATGCCATTTTTTCTCACTCAACTTTTTATTTCTTAAACATTTCATTATTTTTTTATTATTATTATAGCTAATCATAGTACTACGTACCTATTGAAATTTTTTGCAAGTACGAAAGTTGACATATGTAGTATAGTCGAATAGAGTATTAAAATATGTACATGAAAAACCATGGTATTATTTGTTTACGATTGTTGAAAAATTTACGCACCAAATGCCTATCCGTCTGTTTATTTAAATAAGTTTTTTGGAAGCCCCATATATCTTCGGAATCCAAATATAAAATTTTTCTATTACATAGATATGCTTTAAAGAATTTACCTATTTAAAACCAGTAAAATCGGTCAAATATGATCAAAAAATTTTAATTCGTTTTGTATTTTTTATTATTTTTAATGGATTTAATATTTCAGTGACGTGGTGCAACAAAAGTAAACTTTTCGGTAGAAATGTCTACATGTATTTAAAATAAAAAACATTATTTGACATAAAATAAAAATTTTGTGAAAATTAGTCTCTAAATGAGCGTCTTAAACTAACTTGAGTAAAATTTAAGTCAAATCGGATAACGGGAACCCGTGTACCCGGAAATCGATTGAAAAGTGTGAATTGGGTAAAATTGTGCCATTAATCCTTTCGCTATAAAGTATCCATATGGATACATTCAAGATTTTTGTACATACATAAGTTCGATATTTACAAATATTAAAAAAATACTTAATTATAGCTTTTCGTTATCGATTGATAGCAATTTGAAAATGCATCTAAACTGATTTTTCATTTCCAATTGTCGTTGATTTTATTCAAATTAAATTGGTAAAATTTAAAAAATATTGGAAAAAATTCAATGGGTTCTTTAGGATAAGCTTCCAAGACTCGTAGGACCTTAATATTAGTACCAGTCAATTTCGATGTCAATACCAACTTCGAGGTATACTTACAACATCTATTGAGGCATCAAAACTTGTAGGGTTAAAATTGTAATTTCTTAACATTTTGACCAAATCTTATCTTAGCTTTCCAATAAGGTATAAAATATTAATATCGAGCGCCAAATAACAAAGTTATAGGAATTTTTTTCATAAATATGAAGCAAAAACGATTAATTAATTCATATTTTACGTGTTTCTTTGAAAATATTTTAGTTTACATCACTTCTACTTGCAAAACAAAGACCAAACTATGCAAAAATTCTCCTTTTTATCTTTTATTGGAATAAAACGAAATACAGTAGTTTTCCGATTTAACGACCATTCAATTCTACGAACATCGCATTTAACGAACAAGCTAATTTTTCCTATTGACTACCTTAAATAACGAACAAAACTTGTTTTTTGTACTCTGTTTAACGAACTCATAAAAATATTATTATTTAAATGAAGATAAAATGACATTTATCAAAAATAACAAATAACCTAAGTTGTAGCAAAAAACTATACCGTTGTTTTAAGCGGTGCTTTTATACCCAAAACTGTAACACATTCTGGGTTCTTATTAAATTTTAGTTCGATGTAGCTATGTCCGTCCTTCAGATAATGACTTTAACTCAATACTCGCTTAACAATACGAGTACGCCGATGAAATTCGATACAAACATGTTCTATACTAACCGAAATCTCTAATAAATTTTATGGGAATCGGTCCATAATTGACCTTACCCTCCATATCAGGCCCCCTTAAGAAAATTTATTCAACGCTCATTACTCGCTTAAAAATACGAGTATAGCGATGTACTTCGAGAAATAACTTTAAAGCTTATGACTGAATTTAAAATACAGCGATTAAATTCGACACAAATATGGTTTGAAGGTGGATATATAAGATTCGGAATTTTGTGTTTTGTGCTATTTAAAAAAAAAAAAAAGAATTAATTTTTATAAAATACATTTAAAAAATATTTTATGTACCTATTTTTAATTATTTTCCTACCAAAAACCCACGTTTTAGTTAGTACTGCATATAACGAACTTTTCAATTTTACGAACAGGCCTGACAACATATGGGTTCGTTAAATCGGAAAACTACTGTATGTAAATAGCTGAAAAAAGTGTACCAAATACATGTTCGTGCAATTTCAAAAAACTGTATGCGATCACTATTTTAATATATGTATGTATGTACATATGTCAATACTTCTATATTAACAGAAATCCTCATTTGTAAAAAAACTAATAATATTCCTTTATGCAATTACATACATTGAGAAATAAAAAACAAATACATACATACATATTACGATCTTTAACAAAAATTAATAAAAAAGCATCAAAAACAAAACGCCGCCTTTATATAAAACTACATGCATTTATTTTTTCTTTCACAATATAACGACATTAGAAATATAATAAGAATTACAAAAAACAGAATGAGCTGGAAATGTAACCTTTTACATCTATCTAATACCTGATCAAATTTAAACAAATGATGTGCTGCTCTTTTTTGTATTAATTCTTTGTAGAAAGTTGGTAACGAAGTAAATAAATGTCTTTATTAAAGAAGAACTAAAAAATAGCTTTGTTTTCTAGCACTGAAATCATAGTCTAAATACCTGCAACTGCTTGATTTCAGAGATCCTGTGGTGCCAATGAAAAACATGTTTATTTAAGTATAGAGTTCAACTTGAGTAACATGAATCATAACGATATTTAGTTAAAACGGTCAAACGAAAGAGAACAGACGGATATATGAATGTAGAATGGAAATACTACTGCTGTGAGAGTGAACCTTAAAGATTTGTATTTGTTATATCTTTAGGAATACATTTGTCACAACATATGTTTTTTTCTTGTTCTCTACTCTGCATTTTATGAATGTTGAAAAGCATTTGTTACTGGGGGTTCAAATGATCATGCCGACAAACGTGTGGACCATAATTAAGACATTTTCAGGTATTATTAGCGTAAGAACAACACTTTTTCAAATATATGCACATTATTACTACAACTGACTGCCGCTGACTGTGTTTGACATATAGATTTTTCGGATTTAAACAACAATGCCGTCGCTTTTGACAAATGAATGTAAGATTCAAAAAAGAAGTGAAACATTTTTTATTAAGAAATTGTGTTTTTATTTTATTGTTATTTAAAAGAGTTTTTTTAAAGAAAAAAACTATAAATTTACAAAAATATATTTTTTTGATTTCTGCTAATAAGACAAGTTTACTTTTAATTTTTAAGGCCTGCCTTGTTGTTGAAATGCTGTCCAAGCATTGAATGAGTTGAATTGCCCCAATTCCTTCAACTGAATATTTGTAAAACCAGTAGTTGACTCAACTCTCTGTGTAGAGAAAGAGCGTCGGAAGCCCCCTTCTTCTACTGTCCAATTCATTGGAAGTCAAAGTCCTTTTCATTCTTTAAACGGGTTTACGTTTAAGAGTTGATGCAAAAAAACGCTAAGCGTAAGTTATGGTTTACTACATCTAACTGGCTGGAAATTTTCCTAAAAGTTGCATGCGATGAAAAAGTTCAGCAGTCATGGGTAAACCGGAGGGATACATGGTGTTAGGGGTGGACATACTCATTTGATTGAACACTGGCATTTGATGATTTGGTGCTGATGGATAGACAGCTGGAGCATATGCAGCATTCATACGTTGATAAATGGCAGCAGCGGCGGCAGCATTGGCATAACTGGGATTGAAAGGCATGGCTTGGGCATAGGGGGATGTAGTAGGAGCGTAGCGTCCCATCATAGGAGAGAAAATTGCTTGTCTGTATGCAGCCAAACGAGCACGGTTCGCGCCAGGATTCTTTCTGCGTAATTTACCGGTGGTTTCACCAATGAATACCTCTTCGGCACTGGGGTCCAAGATCCAGTAGTTGCCCTTGCCGGGATCATCGTAACTGCGTGGAATTTTTGTAAAGCATTTGTTCAAGCTTAAATTATGGCGAATGGAATTTTGCCAGCCTCTCTTGTTCATCTTAAAGTAGGGGAAACGATTGATTAAATATTGATAAATGCCATTCAAAGTCAAGCGTTGTTCGGGACTGTCTTGTATGGCCATCATGATCAATGCATTATAGCTGTAGGTAGGTTTCTTATCATCACCTTCGCCTTCGGACTTTCCCTTGTCTTCGTCGCTGTCACAACTCTGATCATCTTCCAATTTGTCTTCGCCGGAGGATAGAGAGTCGGCAGCACTGCTCATAGGGGTACTGGTACGGCTGGGGCTATCAAATTCTTCCGATAGTTCGCCATCAGAAACATACAATGATTTTGTATCGGGTTCTTGTTTGATGACAGTTAAAGCTGTTGGCATCTCAAATTGTTGTTTATTGTGTTGTGATGAATTTTTTGATAAAATAGCATCGATGGAGAAATTGCTTTTGAATTCCATATTGTTAACACTTTTTACCATTGTCTTATTTTCTCAGAGTCTATAGTTTAATTTTTTTTTCTTTTAAAATTGCTTAAACAATTATTTCTTCTGTTATATGTTTTTAAAAATATATCTTTTACCACAGGAGATGTTTGTTTTACAAATCAGAAGTGAATACTGTTGTGTACTAAGCAGAGAGCCAGCTATTTATACCCCTGAAATTCATGATCCCTCTCAGCAGGCAAGTCTACACAACAAAAACACAAAAGAGAGATACAATCCACTTTGAGAACGACAGCAACAACCACCAAAAGTATCGTAACGTATCGATAAGATAATGTGTGTAATGGATCTGTGTACCTGTGTTTTTGTTGTGTAGAAAAATAACTCCGCCTTTGTGTATGTTTTCATAATATTAGTTGTTCTGTTTATTATTATTTCCTGCCCGATTTTCTGTTGAGTATATTTTCTCATGTTTATTTAACTTATAGCATCCACAATATTTATACTGAAATATATGATTTTGGGTAGTGATGTATCCATATGTACATACATACATATGTATGTACTTCTGTCTGTATAGGTAAAACAATAATTGTTTTTATGCGCATGTGTGTTTAATTAAAATTGACCGATTCTTGTTGGAGAATTATTCTCATTTCATCTTTAAAATATTTGTAGATTTTATTGGGTTGTTGTTTTGTTATGTCAATATTTATTTTGGATTTCATTGCATCGGCGTCAAAATATCTATTAATGTTAATCTAAACAGGGTTGGTTTGTGTGCGGCCCTATTTTAATCACTGCCTGGACAAGCTTTTATTAAAGATACTTAAATTGTATATGGAAGATTCAGCATGTACATATGTGTGTATGTATATAATTTAATACGCCCGTTTTAATGGGTTTAAATCTGTAATATTTTGTTTATTACAACTCGTGTGGGATTTTTTCGCAAGTATTTTAGTGTAATATGTGATTAGTTTCTACTTAATCGTAAACTAATCGTGCAACTTTATAATCTAACATGCTTACTAATTATTTTCTAACACGAACAAACTAGATATTATAACTAATCTACATGCAATATTTGTTCATATAGGTATTTATGTCTAAATTATCAAGTTAATTTCTGCATTACAAAGTTAATCGTTAAGGTAACGATTTGTTAGAACCTAATATGGTTTAACAAGTTTAATTTTTTCGATCCAACATTGTTAGTGTAGATCACTTTTAAGCTTTATCTGATCCGATTTTTAATCAAACTTAAACTATAACAAATCATAGTAAGAAAGTCAACATACCTAGTATGTAGGTTTATCTGTACTTACTTGCATTTGTATGAATAATTACACAGGCCAACGATGAAAACTCTTTTTAAATAATTTTCACTAAAAATATAAAATTAAAACTTTGGAAAAATATTTATTTAAGTTATAAAAATAATATGCTTAAAAATAAAACAAAGTAAACATATCATTTAAAATTTTGCAACATTGATTAACTGACATACAACATTATACAGTATTTCTAAATAAAATATTAAGTATCGAATGGGCGGAGTAATAAAACTATCTTTGGACAACTACCGAATTTAGTTAATTTCAGCTGCAGATTTCTTAAATTATAAGTAATTAAAGACGTTTTAGCTTTAATTAATTATGGACAAAAAAGTAGAAAAAATTCCTATAGTGGAGACGGCAGTTTCAAAACTCGAATTTCAAACTTTTTAAATTTTTGTTAAGCAAATAAATGTACAAACTTCTTAAAAATATTTTGATTATTCCAAGCAAAAATAAAACGAAGTACATAGATACTTCAAAAAAAAATAACATTTATCACCACTTCAAAAGTGGCACTAAGTGAATTTTTTACCTTCTGGGGAAGTGATGTTGAAAGACTTCCGAAGAAGCGAAAATAATTCTATTTTTCAATATTGAAGATATATTTTCGGACTTTTGTATTAAATATGTCTATTAACCTTAATAATGTCAAATTAGTTGTATTCTATAATACTACAATATCACTTCCGAATAACTTCCAAAAAAAGAGCATAAAAATTACTTCTTGAGAATAACTCCAGAAGTAGTGAATTTGGAATCAAATAAAAATGACATCCCTCCTATGACAAGCCTGTGTTAAAATCATCACTTATTCAGGTCTTTTTCAGTATTTCCATGGAGTAAATTCTACTTCTTTTTCGCTTTTTTGGAAGTTCTTTTTTTTGCTGGGTTGTGCTTGGTTAATCGACTTAAAAATTAATATAGTTGATCGAAAATTGGTTATTGACTTTTCATGCTATTCCCTTAATTGTGTATTGCAGCCAGGGTTGGAAAATGAGATTTTGTTTCAGTATCAAAAAATATTTCTGAAAGTACTTTTTTGGATCTCAGAGTACTAAAATAATTTTTTTTGCTGAAAGTTGGTAATTTCTTAAATGCATTTACATATATTTAGTCATTTTTAAACAATCAACAACGGAAGTAGAAAGGGCATTATATGTTGATATGATAAATCTTTGTCTGTCCCTCAATGTTAACTTTTTAGATATAATTTGATGAATTTCTTATCCAGAAAATGGGTACATGGTATCAAACAGCTCCAATAAAAATACAAGTAAGAAAGTATAGTCGGGCGTGGCCGACCATATGATACCCTACACCAGTTATGAATATTAAATGTGATTTATTTTTCATAATAAAGTATTTATTTAAAGTATTTATCTTCAATACAACCTTGTTTCTGATACATTTAAGCAATTTATTGACGATAAACTAATTTTCTGAAAAATGGTTTATATGGGGGCTTGGACCGATCTCGATAAAATTTTGTGAATAGATTTATATTTATATAATATTAATTTGTGCTAGATTTAATCGCGATGTTGGTGTTTATATGTGAATGTTGGACATTCAAGTCATTTTCTGAAGGGGACTTTGTATGTGAGCTAGGGTCAAATGAGACCCGATTTTTATGAAATTTGGCAAGGTCATCAAGGCTAGTATAAAACTTATTTGTGCTGCTTTCCATCGAGATATAAGTATATTTAACATAAATATGAGTTTAAAGGCTATTTTCTAGGTGTTCTGTTGTATGGGGGCTAGGTGAAAAAATGGACCGTTTTTACCATTTTCAATAGGCTTCGTCCTTGGGCCAAAAAAAGTGCGTGTACTTTGTAAATATGTATGTATGCTAATTTTAAAGCAGTCATTTTGTTATATTATAATAAATCCGTTGTTATATTTTGATAAATCTGGCTTTAATGAAATTTAGGCCACATTTAACTCTACACAAGGATGAATTTAGAAATTCAACTTAACGATAATAATTGAGCTACAAGTATTAGTAACGATAGTTTATTGTCAATAATGTGTTTTTTCAAAATTTAAATTTTTGGTAATTTTCTCATAAAATATTAACAATGGAATTTTAATTAGATTGATATTTATATAATGTCAATCAAGAAAAAAATTCGAAATTCCATTTCGAAATGTGCTGCATTAGTAATTTGCAAACATACTTCTAAATAAGTCGCTTTTAAAACTAGATTTCTTTAATTCTAGTAATATTGAAGATAATTTTATTATTCTGTAATTTTATTCGCCGTTTTTTCTATAACTTTTAGTTGATTCATTTTTGATTATATCGTTATACATATTTAGATACATATGTGCTAAAACATTCTTTGAATTTCAAATTTGAATAAAAATTTTAAATTTTAAAGATACTTTGAGAGTATCAAATTAGACTCGGGAATATCACGGTACTTTTGAACCATCGTACCAATTTTGCCATTCCTGATTTCAGCTCACGAATGTGTAGCATGTCACAACGTTATAACCACTGAACACCAATAAAGGGAACGTTGACGTTTTTTAACAACAATAACATTACCCTCTTCTCACGTACCAGTTCTGTGTAACGCCAACTTTTTGATAGCTTTTCAATCCTTGAAGTTTAGTGGTTCTAACACTTTCAAAAGTGTCCTAATGTATATGGACTTTGTGACACTTTTAAAACATAAATGTAAAAAATAACGTTTTTTTCTTGAACAGTTAACACACAAATAACAAAATACACTATTATTTTTGTAGAGTTAAACTAGTATCTTGTGTATAGTTTAAGGCTTAAACTTAAGGCTTAAAGAATATAAAAACGCAAAAATAAAATTTTGAGTTGTGTCACTTTTGTACTAGGTGTGCGATATGTATAAAGATTATTTGGATCTTATAGTATCTTTTTAAGTTTGCAGGGTATCTAAAAGCTATTGGTCTGTTGACTAAATATTTATTTTATTTATTTAATTCAAATATGTAAATAATGTCTATATCCTATTTATTGTATTAAGTTATGCATATTGTTTATTTATTGCTTGTTGTGCCCTTGTTAATGCTTTTTACTTATTAATTTACATTTGTTGGTTTGATTTGGTGTTGTCTTAATTTTCTTTGTTTTTCCCTCTACGTGTTCAAATGTCTGTTAATTACAAAAACACACATCAGTACTGTTTTTTGTAGTTGTTTGTAAAGTTGCTCATAAACACTTGATACAATTTCATTGGGGCGTTTAAGCAACAACACCAAGCGAACACTTCAATGATTTTGTGGCTCTTGTTGAAAGAAAAAAGGCGCAATGCCTTCAAATAAGTGGTTGCTTATAGTGTGTACAAAAGTGAAGTTACATTTTCATTAAAAAATTGTATGTTTATAATGGAATGGACTGACGGTCGGGTGGAAACTAAGAAAAACACTTCTCAAATTTCATCTCTAGAAGTTTAACGATAAAGTGACTTCAAAGAATACTGCCGCCTAATTTTGTTTTACAAGAAAATTAAAATATTTGGAAAAAAAGAAAAGAGATATGGAACCAAGAAATATATAATAAACAATGTTAAGTCTCGTTCAAATCCAAAGAGGGTTCTTATTTTAGTGCTTCTTGTTCTGCACTTGTAATGGTTAAAATCTTTCGAAATCCCTAAAACTTCTGCTGATTAAGTAAAACCAAAATAAAGGGGCACAATTATGTAATGGATTAATTGAAAATCTGTCCTTAAACATTGGTTTGCTTTGGATGAAACTGTTGCGAAATGTTCAATGAATCATACAATGAGAACTCTAAAATGAGTGATAAAATATTTATTTCAAATTCA